GCGCGCGTTTTCAAGAATAATATAATGCCTTGATGAGTTTTTGTCTGCAGCACTGGATCTTAAAGTGCTACCCTCCCCTATACTACCCCCCCTCGACGTAACGGTGTGGAGGGTAACCCAGCAGAGGTAGCTTTCCCAAACCTGAGATGTCACCTCCCACGTCCCACCCACGACAGCAGGTTGCAACACCTTCCATTTAAGCAAACCCTAAAACCTATACCTTGGACCATTCCTGCTTACAGTAATTGTCCCTAAAGGGGCAAGGGCCATTATAACTCCTGGTATTTCTTGTGGTAACTGCTACTGTAAAGGGGAATGACCCAACCTATACTCAGCCCTAAATCCTGGGGCCTAAAACCTAAACAGGGTGTGCTGTAGGTGCCTAGATAACCACAATATCCTCCTGAGGTCTATGTGAGGTAGCCTACACCATACTTATACGCTGAATCTTAGACCATAATATTGGTATGTCTCTGGGTTTCTATATTTAACACACTATAGACAACCATGCAATCCCAACTTCCATTTCATTTTCCAACTTCTTTTCCAGTTGATTTTCCATTATTGAGGGTACAGCCACCTACACCTCAAACCCTAGGCCCTCAAACTCTAAACCCCCACGAAGGGACCATAAGAATTGAAATTATTCAGGCTTCTGAAGCCCTAATCTCTAAACCCTAATCCCTGCACGCTACACCCTAATCCCAATCCTCTAAACCCTAATCACCGTATCCTACAGTAAAACCTACAGGATTGCATGCTACGCGGCGGGGAGGGCATCTGCAGTTCTCTCCAGTAGCTCAGGATCTTCCAAAGGGGCTGCCTTCCGGGCTTCGCTTGCGGGAGCTGAAATTGTAAGGAACTCTCCTTAAGGTTTAGGGTTTCAGGCTAAGGGCTTCGGTTCAAGGTTTAGGGTTTCTGATTGGGTGTAGGGCTTAGGCCTCAAGATTAAACGGTTATAGTCTAGTTAGACTTGTACTTATAAATGACCCAACTCTCACTTCATTATGGGCCTTCAGGGGTTCAAACTTGGATTCTAGGGCAATCCTAACTAGCCGCACTTACCCTTCAACTTCCAAGTAAGAATCGAGATTTGTTGAGGCTTTTGGGCTTAGCGTTTAAGGTTTAGGGTTGGCCAATAATTTCAGAGCCTGTATTTGAGCCAGCTTGAAACTTTTTTACATGCAAACCACCACTTGAGGTGCGGTTGGAGGATCCGCGAACTTGAGATCTTGCTTGGAAACTTACTTGGAAAGAACATGGAAGGAAAGACATGAAAAGAGGCTTTTGGGTTCGGATTTTAAAGTTTAAGGCTACTATAGGGTGATGTAGGGTGTACAGTTTACGCCTCTAAACCCTAGACTTTAAACCGTACTGGTGCTTAAGGGGGAGTGGAAAAGCACATGGGAGCTATACAGGGTCTGGGATGATTTAGAGTGCTTAAGCGGGAATGGGGGAGGGAAAACAAGTATCCTAATCGTGAACCGCGAACTATATAAGGATCACAGTAGCGGTCTACGCCTTCCCCTACTACTCAGCCCTATGTTTCGTTAGGTTCTGCCTGAATGAACGTCATCTGTGGAGACTCAGGTAATTAGGCCTAGTTATGAAGGTATTGAAGGGGAACCTTGGAAATGGTAGCATTTTGGAGAACCTAGAATCATCACAAGTAAACAGACTCATGTGAGCGGAGAACGGGTTCAAGTGTTTTTTGCGGGATTTCGATGGTTGACATCTGATGCCCTGACGTACCGTAGAAGCTTGAATCGGCATTTCTCTGAATGGTTTCTAAGCTACAGGCCATATATCCCATATGTTAATGGACCCGGGATCCGATCAGGGAACAGATTAAGGACTTTTCGACACTACAAGGGGACCCTATGTCCACCCTTAATTAATAATCCTGTGGTAAACCTGAAAATGAGCGTAGCTCATATAATCCTTGGATGACCCTTCTAATCCCGACCTATGCCCTTAGTGTCCCTGAATTCTCTAGGACCGCCTTATAGGACCTCCCGAACTGTCAAAAAAACGTTTCATCCTTAAATGCCACTGGTCCAACATGCACCAAAAGGCTGTCTTGAGTATTCACAACGCCCCCACAGTTCGTCTCAGCATGCCCTGTATATTAGTTTTGGGACAAGGTTCGCAAGTCCGAGGTCTTCAGACTCCGGAAGCAAAACAAGCTGTTGAAGAACCCTAAAACCCTAAGCCTCTTCAAGCCCTCATCTGACGCGACCTCCAATGTTCTCTCTCTGCTAACACTCGGCAAATCACGCAAGCTGAGGCTAGGCATCAAACGCATTCCGGTGGTTGTATAGGGGTTGAATAAGGGTAATGTAAGGTGTGTGTGTGTGTGCATATATATATATATATGGGTATAGTGCGTTTAAGAGCCCTGGTTTTTCAGGCTCCCTAGACCTACTACATGCTTACGCAACCATGCCAACGGCATCCCTGCCCAAACCATAATAACGTCCGTGTTCTAATTGCATGCGATTCCCACAGCATCCATGCCAAAACCATAATAACGTCCGTGTTCCAACGCAAAGCTCTTAAACGCACTATACCTATATATGTATATATATATATACGTATATTGAGAATGGGACCTTTAGGGTCTGTTTTGCTTTCCTGTTATGACTATACTAGTATCTATAATAAATATTTACTAGAAAAGTGCTGCCTTTTGGTCATCATGGCATGTTCTACCTGCAAGGAGCAAGCTTTTTAAGCTCTGCCTAGATGGCATAGTATGGAGCGCAAGCTTTGCTGCAAGCACCCGGATCTCCGCACCCTGCCGGCATGGAGCATCTTCGGGCGATCTTTCCGTATAAATGAGGACATTTAAAATTCCGGAAAATTCTCCCAAGCGCGGCACCTTCACCTTGGCTGAGTTCATGGAGCTGCTATGGGCCTCCACAGTATAAGGGGCCCCCCACATGGATCGTCACCCCGCTGTATGTGCAAAGAAGGAGACAGCATAAATATAGGGACCCCATATTCTGCAATCCTTATTGTGGAGACCCACCAAAGAGGGACTCGTAATTTTCGGAAACCCGAAATACTGTTGAGTTATCCAATTTGGGAAGCGATCAACACTGGGACAGGTTGTTAACTGAGCTTTCGAGAGATTAGACGAGGCTATGTTGGATGGAGGGAATTTCTGGATCATCTTAGATGCCCTATACTGCACACATTCCAATAGTTGGAGGCCCCGGCTTAGATGCCCTATGCCCTACAGATTCCACTGATTGCGGGCCCCAACGTGCAAGATTTCCTCAACATGGAAACTCTAGTTATCCCAACCCTTGTAATATGCATCCCAGAACTATCATATCACTATAATGTGCTCCCAATTTCAGGGGTTGGTGTAACTGTAACCTCGTTCTTAGTCTCCATCGGCCGTATCAGCTACAAATGCCCTACGACTCCAACTGTCACAGCCAAGTCTCTTGTTCAGTTATGCCTTCGCCTTTGGCACCTTGATGACAGGAATCCTGAGAGTGGTGGAGCTCTGAGTTTCAGGGTTTAGGGTTCAGCTGCCTTCCAAACTCATGTACTTGGAGTAAGCACCTACAATTGGGGTTATAACCTACTTATAAGTGGGATTACCTACATAAGGCCAGTCAGGGGGAGCATAGGTAGGATTAACCCCAGTTACAAGTAGTTACTAGGTCCCATAACTCCGAGTAACCAAATCCGGCATCGATGCTTGCAATGCTAAAAATCAAATGGAAACACAATGAAAAATGAACTGGACTTATTAGAGCTTGTCGGGATGACCATGGACGGGCCTAAATGATGACAACAGGGTTTCAGGGAACATTTTTCCATGGTCATAGGCGGGCTGTCAGTGGATAACATTAGCAATCAACCAGGTCTCTTAAACTAGATTTCAAACCATATGTTTAGGTTGTCGTGGTCTGAAGAACAAGCTGTGGGAAAGTGCTGTTGATCGGTTGATGGTGGGACAGCCGTACAACTCATTCTAGGAGGTTTCTATGAGTAGAGGACCCAAGATAAACCCCAAGATACGACAACTGCGTGGTCTCCCAAAAGCACTCGACCCCCAAACACTAAAACACGTAATCCTAAATCCTTGAGCCCTCAATCCCTACGGGCTTGAACACTTGACCCCTAAAACCTTAAACCCTGAAACACTAAACCCCAATAACCCTAAACCCCTGAAGCCCGAACCCTGGAACCCTAAACCCTATAAACCTGCTTCCCCTAAACCCTAAGCCTTCAAGCTGTCAGCCCAAGCGACAGCCCGGCCGCAACAGCTGCCATGATAGCGGCTGGGATCAGTGCGGCCTCTGCGTTGTTCGGGTTCAGGGGCTTAGGGTGTTGGGATCTTTGGAGTTCCTCGCTCTAAGGTTTGGGGTTTAGGGTTTAGGGTTCTCTTCAAGGATAGTGTGCTCAGCAGGGAGCAGGGGAATGGGTTTTAATTGTATGTAGAGACGATGATTGGCGGGTTTATGTGGTGACCCCTTCCCTCAGTCACTGCTACCCCAACGTGCTGAAGGATCGAGACAATGGGGGAATCATTGGGAGGCTCCAGTTTTGGATCCCTTCGAGGCTTAATCAGGGAAATCTAGCGGTAACACATCTCCGGCCAAGACTGGGGAATTCGTGTGGCGGGATTGCAGGTTTCAGCTGGGTTCCTTGAAGATTAGCAACTGTTTTGTAATTGAACCTTCTGGCCTCTCAGTTCAGACCTCAATCACTCAACACCCAATCTGTGGTCCTCAATCCGAAAACATGTACATCTTCGTTTCTGCGTTAAATTCCCAGATTTATCCGCAGATTGCGTTCCTGATTCCCAATATCTTTTATGACGCATCCTACTCAGCAAATCCCTCCCTTCCCCATTCCTTTTGCTGAGAGCACGGAGCCTAGAATGGGTCCCACATTCCCTAGAGTCCACGCATAGAAACCCAAACCCTAAACCCTGCTTTGAGCTATCTGAAGAAGCCCTGGGAATTTTCGAGCTCCGCCTGCACTCCGTAGATGGGGTGGGTCTCCTTGGCTGCCACGCCGCCCAGGCCAAAGAAGAAGGTGCCCGATCCAAAGAGCAGCACCTACTAATATAGAGGTTTGAATAAACAGAATAGGGTTTAGTGCTTAGGGTTCAAAGAGAACGTTTGGATGTCGAGACTTAGTTTTCCCGCTACAGAAGGTGCAGGCTTCAAGGCTGAAGGCACCTACTATACTGATAGGGTAGCCCCCTTTTAGAGTTCTTATATACTCCACATACGCACCTGCACTTGTTTTTTGTCGGAACAACACCAAAACTCAGAATATAGCTTACATCCCATGATACGGCCTATTACCATATGGGTGTCTATTTTGGGCCCAATTTTATGGACCTTTAGCTGGTGCTTAGAAGGGAATTAAGGAATAGGATGTGGCGACGATGAGAACGGATGACAGAAGTATTAAAGGGATCCATCCGTTCCTGAACTCTCATGGAGCCTAGACCCTCCATCTACTCTGCATATACGCTGAAATACCCACTATTAGGGACCATAGATTGGTACGTCAGGGTACAAGGAAGGTCCTGGAACACCAGTGAAATGGGGAGGCTTTTGAACTGCAGGCTTAGGACCGGAAACCTTATGAGCTACGAGGGGTTTAGGGTTCAGGATTGAGGGTTTCAGCTACTTGGAGGATCATGGGGACTTAGCAACTATATTTATAATTCCTATAAGCCATGTAATAACCCCAGTCGCCACACCGGCTTCAGGAGATGTTTGACCCTAAGCCCTGAACCACTAGCTATTGCTGGGCTGTCTGCTCAAATCATTCCAAAATCAAACCTCTCAATCATCCCAGGTTTCCCCAAACTGTACCTGGAGATGTAAGCACAGCTTTCCAGGAGATCCGAAACTGGGTGGTACCCTGAAAGCTACTAGACTTCTTCAGTAATAAGTCCCCTTAGAAAATGACACTGGAGTGTACAAAATTCTCCCAGAATGCAGCCCAGGTCTTTCTGCAAATGAGCAAAGACGTGACTTAAAGATGTACTCCGGGTATTGCGGAAATTAGGACAATGCCCAGTCAAACGTGGTTTTGCATCTTGAGGAGTAAGCCCCTTCAGGATGCAATCGTCGATGTTGCTTTCTGATGGAATACCCTCAAGTATACACATGCTTGCCCAGTAGATGCGCAACTGTCCAAACTGAAGCAGCCAATGTAGGAGCCTCAGTAATTTCCAGCATTATTCACCCTTTTAATCTCTGTAGTACACTCTACGCCCATGGCCCTAAGTCAATCGTAATCCCGCAACACCTTTTCCCTAAACCCTTAAACCCCTATTCTGAGCAAATAGGCCCCTAAAGTGTCCGCTTTCCCTTTAAGCAATGCCTTGAGCAGGGTTGGGGAAGGGTCGCCGCTGACCTGCAAACTTATCAGGGACTATAGGGTCCCTGGACTCGTTTGAGAAACACCTAAGCCCCAGTTATAACCTAGGATCCCCAGTAACCTAGGACCAACAAGGTCCCACTTTTTGAATGTAGCTTGTTGTTATAAGGAGCGTAGGACGCCAAAAAGGAAAAAGGGCTCACTCAACACCCCTATTACCAAACTAGAGCGCTCAGGAGGCTTATCTTGAGACTGGGAAAGGTCTGGATTCTGGATGTTTGGGTTTGAGGTTTAGGGGTTTTAGGGTTTAGGGTTTGCATTTGAGGGATGAGGGTTGGAGGCTGTAAGGTTGAAGGTTTTAGGGTTGAAGGTTTAGAGATGGAAAGGTTTGGGGGTTTGGGGAAGTTTAGGGGCCAAATAAGTATCAATAGTGGAATATCCAATTGAAAAGAAAGTGGCAGATGCCATGGAAACTGGTTCCATGTAGGTGTTTTTATGGATCCGGTTTAAGGGTTTAAGGTTCACGCGTTTGAGACTTGTAGGGATGGCGGTTTGCGGGAGTGCAGGGATCTGGGTGTATAGAGGGGTGTGTGGGCGGCTTTGTAGTTTTAGGGGTTGGGTGTAGAGGCCCCCAAATCATTACCAAGATCATGTTGAGGCGTATTGAAGTAGTGTAGAAGTACTATAACACTCCAAGGACTTTAGGACGATGATGTCAGGAGTTATTCAGGCTCCTGGATGGTGCAAGGCTTCCCTTTGGAACATGCCCGATACTTACCTCTGGTTAACAAGAAATGAACGATGGATCTTTGTAATGAATAGTTCTAATTATCTCCACTGCCAAACTATTTTGTATTGTGCTTTCCATTCCCTAAAACCCCGAGCCCGAAAGAGAGTTTCCATTTTCGTTTCCGTTCCCTCACTTCCTGCCAACCAGAGGTAATAATGCCCATGCCCTTGTGGCACAACTTAGTAACCCGAAACCCTACGTAAGTCTAGATCCTCAATCATAAACCGTGACACCCCCAGCCCCAGAACAACTTGCGCATGCCCAGAACTAATTTTGACAATGGACTCGGCGGCCGCCAGTGAGTTGACGTTTCGTGGTTCGAAAAACAAATCTTTTCAACAAGATGGGCATAATACCAGAAAGCGGGTTTAGAGTTTCAGGTCCTCCCATCTATGCTTCCCGCATAAGTCGTACAGTTTAAATTCGAAGCCCCAAGATATGTATGATCATAGTCAACAAGCACCACTAAACCCTAAGCTCTAAACCCTACACCCTTAAACCCTAAACGCCATCGCCACAACCCCGAGCCTAACCCAGAATACTCAGCTTCCGGGTAAATCTGATGTAGGTTTTGCAAAGCCTCTCTCAGCAATCCCCAACAATAGCGGTTTAGGGTTCAGGATTTATGGTTTCGGATTTAGGGTTTGCATAGGATTTAAAGTTTAGGATTTAAGGGCTCCAAGTATTTCAATTTTCTGTTCCAATCCTTCACAGCACAGCACCCCGTCAGAATTGGATGCTTCCCCGCTTTAAAACTGCCCTCCACTTGGACTCCTGCAGGCTTACACGGAACATGAAACGGTATCCTGGGTAGACTACTGTCTGTTCAGAAGGGGTCTATATGGTAGTTTCCATAAATCACGGGACCCAATATTTCAATCCTTACAGTAGGTACCCCCATAAAGGATCCCGAATTTTTGGGAAACTCCCAGCAGGGGTCCATGTTGGAGAGGGTACTCTTCCCTGCCTGCGCACGTGCCCAGGCACCGAGACCGACACCGAAGTCCGTGAGGTAGCCGGTGAAGTGAGTAGTGCAAATGGGGCAGGAGGTGCACCTCGGGATTTATGGATTTTCCAAGCGTTACTTGAGGATTCATGGAATTTAGGATTTAACTGGAGAAGCCCCTATTGAGGTGGATTGTAAGCGGGAGTTATGGGTTCCCCTAACCACCCCCCTTGTGCTACCCCCCCATAAACGTCAACTAATCCTAATTCAGGTGTAGCAATGGCATCTAGGGAATTGCAAGCCAGAGTTCTCCCCACCGTTAAAAGTAATTTTCGTAATCCCCAACCCCCAAAATCAGGACCCTGTCGCCACTACTAGGATCCTAATTTGGGGAGTTGGGGTTACTAAAATTTCTCCTTGCCGAGGCATGTACTTGGCCCCGAATGGTGAGAAATATCTACGTGGTGCCTTTCCTATCCTATCTCTCGTGTGGTGAAAGTTTGAGGGACCGCCAGATTTAGTTCGGGATTTGACCGGAGCTTTTGAAGCAAATGAAGCTGGTTGCTTCGGAGCCTCACCCCTTTCAAATGAAACAAATGCTTTCGGCCGGAGCCGTGAAGCAAGTGAAGCTAGTAGCCGCGGAGCTTCGAATTTTGCCCCTAAAAATGAAGCAAATGGCTTCGGCCGAAGCTCTAAAGCAAGTTAAGTTGGTAGCTTCGGAGCTTCGCCCCCCAAAAATGAAGCAAGTGGCTTCGGAAGCTTCGCGCTTTCAAGCCGAAGCCCGTCTGAACCACCCCAGGCTCGCAATCAAAAGTTTAGGGTTTAGGGTTTAGGGTCAAGATTGTCTTGGCCAGGAACACGCCAACACATGAAGCTTCCGAAGCAGGTAAACCTGGGGCGTGAACTATCAGAGTTCTGCAGAGCAGGTACATGGAGCGTCACATAAGATAAAGAAGCAGCAACTATGGTAGTTTGCCAAAATGGGGTACCCCAACATAAGCCCTAAAATACTATTTGTGGGACCCCCAGCCCCAAAAGGCACGGTTAATTTGGGAAACCAATATATTAGTCCTGAAGATCTAGAACCATTGAGCCCCGCATCGTGGTCTCCATGTAAAGTATGTAAAGGGTTGTCAAGGTTACTTACATACAGTTATACGGTAGGTGGCCAACATTGTGGTCCCTTTTTGATCTCTGCCCAAATATTTAGGGTACAAAAAAGGGACCATCAACACACCATATAACGGTTCTGTAAGGGCGGAATGGTGATGATGGTTTAGTATGAGGTTTAGGATTTGGGGTTTATGAAGTAGGGATTTAGGGTTTGGGGTTGCTCAGCCCTGGAATTGGTTCGCACGCCCTACCTTCGAGGTCAAAGTGCGTTTGTAAGGCATAAAGCCTCTCCAACCACGAAAACTCTAGGGTTTAGGGTCAGCCTCCTGAGAACCCAGGTATGGTTATAATTGGGATATGAAGCTTTCACAAAACCCTGGGTACGATTTGGGGTGTCTATATTGGGATCCCCAACTTTATGGAGACTGGCATGTAACTATAAGTGTAATTGGGTTCCAATTATCTTCAACTTCCATGTATTGCCTGCTTCAGGCCGCGGCTGACTTATTCCACTAACGGTCCCCTCCTAATACCCCGTAAATCCCCCTATAGGTCCGCCCCAACCTAACTGTAGCCCGTAGCTCATGGATTGCGAGCTTATGGCTCCTGCGGCTGGCTTAACGCAGGGATGGTGGTCGCAGTCCAGCTTCGAACTCTTGAGACAATTCAAACTCTGCTGACCCGGAAGCATAATCAGATCAAATCAGAAGAGACTTTGTTAAGAGGCCTTTCAAAGACAAGCGACTTCTGGTCTTCGTTTGAGTATACAAACAGCACCCCGAAAGTCCTACCCGATAGCAGATTCAGTCATGAACTCCGTACACACTAAAAAAGCCTATAGGAGCCTATTCGATTAGGGTAAGTTCGGAGTACAGAATGCCATAATGCTGTAGTGTTAGAAGGGCGGCAGAGGAATGTTCTCAGTATTCTCTCAAGCTTTTACAGCAGTCCCTAAACCCTCAATCCCACCCTCGTACTGAGACTCGCAAGCGGGATCTGAGGCAGGTTCCTGCGTGTGATGCCGTTCTGGATGCCCTGGATAAAGATGAGGGTTTAGGGTTTAGTGGTAGAATCAGTACATCGTAGTTGTAATAGTAAATAATAGCGCAGAATAATGGCAATGACATTAATGGACACTTGGGCGATTCCCAAACTGGGGTCCCTAGAGCAAGCACTCTTGTATTCTGGTGTTTACATTGGGTTTCCTTACTCATGGAAACTGCCACTTGATTGTTGTTCAGCTACTTTAAACCTTATTCGTTGTTACTCTTTAGGGTGTTCCAGTATACATACAAATCTGACACATCCTTTAACAGCAGCCCAGGTCAGGTGGGCTCCCCAACAATCTATATGCTTTCGAACCTACTACTATGTATCCCTAAATAATCCCTATACCCTAATCTCCCTAGAGCAAAAACCCTAAACCCTAGTCCCCCTAACCCTAAACCTTAAGCCCGCCCTAAACCCTCTAATCCTAAGCCAAACCCCAAAGCCTAAACCGGCTATCCCTAAACCAAACCCTAAACCCCTAGCCCCAAACCAAAAAACCCCGGAACCCTGAACCCTAATCCCCCTAACCCTCAACCCTAATTCCCCTAACCCTAACTCATTCCCCTAACGCTCAACCCTAAACCCTAATCGTCCTCCCATAACAACTTGGCAGCCTGGGAGAATGAGAAGAGCAGCAGCGACTGGGAGGTGTCATCGTTGCCGCCATCCTGAGCCTGTTTTCAGTTGAAAGGGTTTTGAACTTAGGGTCTAGTTATATCTCTATGACTTAGGATTTTGGGGTTTAGGGTTTGCAAGATTAGGGGTTTAGAGATTCAAGGATTAAAGGTTCAAGATCTGGGGTTTAGGATTTAAGGTTTTGGCATTGAGGGCTTAGGGGCTTAGGGTTGAGTTGTTTAGAGATTTGGGGTTTAAGATGTATAAAGCTTGACTAAAGTTCATGATGGGGTCTTGGACTGATTATGTACTTTTCGGGTGGCGGGCCTAGGGTCATGGTAGGGTTTAGCTTTTGGCTGCGTATGGCCTTCTAAAATTTTGTTTCTTATGCATTGACACACATGAATCACATCAGGACCACAGCAATTGCCTGCTGCAAAGATGAGATAGTAAGGGTTTGTATTTGGAGGTTCATGGGATTCGTAAATGTTTCTAACTGGCTTTTTAACCTAACTTACATTTCCCGTAAATGGCCTTGAAGGGTTACCCCAAGTATAAGTAGGGTCATAGCTCCTAATTCTACGTGGTTACTAAGTCCCATCAACCTCCAGGTAAAATAGGGCTTTGGGGGCAGAGCATACTGCTGCTCTGAAGAAATCCACAACGGATAGAAACCCGAACAATCCCCTCCCCTTCAGATTCAAAACTCCGCATCCCTCTAAAATCATATATTCGCAACATACTAGAATATGCCCGAAGGGAATATTGAATATAACGAGGGGTGGGTGGTTTAGCTTTGCTTGGCTGCGGCTCGGGTTTAGTTTCTAGGGCCGAGGAACGATTAGACTTGTCATGTTGAAGCGACATTTATTAGGTTCAGGTGTACACAAATATCCGACACGATATTCAACAGCAGCCCACGAAAGGGTCTGAAGGTGCTCGGGTTCTGGGGATAGAGAATTATTGGCACAAAAACGCCTTGACGCTTAGTTAATTATTAAACCCAGTTTGTGGACGAGGACCCGGGCAATTACCTGATTCTGTGGAGGTTGCAGCGCATCATTGACGGAGGAATGGGTTACGGCTCTCAGGGCTCTTAGTGCTACTAAGGTTTTTGGACTGGACTCCGGATCACAGCTTTCACGGTTTTAGGGCCATGGGATGGAAGAGAGAAGTTGCTTCCACCTGATGCATCAAGCACAAACCTAAACCCTAAATGCTGACCCTTACGTGGTTTTACTACTCCCAGCTGGTCAATCACCAGAAATGGAGAATCAAATGCTGACGCTTAACGCTTACGTGGTTTTACTACGGCCAGCTGGTCGATCACAAAAATGGAGAATCAAATTGACACGTATGCAGAAAAAGAAATGGAAACTTGGTTTCTACAGCGTTTTGTAAGGGGCTACGGAATGTAGGGGCCTGAATAATTAGCACTATGATCTTAAGGCCTATCTAAAGTATCCATTACCACCACATTTCTACCAGGAATCCAGGACCAGAATAGTGGTACGTGTTCAGGCCCCTACTTCGAGGTTCATGGGACTTGGTAACGACTTGTTATTAGGCTGATACCCCTAGTATAATAATCCTAAATGGCCTCATAGGGGTTACGTTACCCCAATACAAGTAGGATTATAGCCCGGGTTATGAGTAGCTTCTAAGTCCCATAAACCTCCCCAAATCCCTAAATCCTAGACCCCAAACGCTACACATCCCTGTAACCCCTTTAAAAGATCCAGTTAGTCCCATGAACCGTCAAGGACAGTAGTTTGGGACGGCTCTAGGGTTTAGGGTTTTGGCTCACAGGTCTAGGGTCTGCATGGCTTAACCTGAGAGTGATCTCACAATCCTCCTGAACACTGCTTGGGCCTACCTACAACAAGGAAAGCGCCCTGGCGTGCTCCTGTGGATTGAGGAAATCTTGCAGCACCCGTAAATCCTAAACCCTGTATATTGTAGCTTGGAGTCAAAATATTATGCTGCTTCCGTGTGGTGCAACGTTGCCTCAAACCTACGTCCCTAACCCTGGGAAGCCGAAAATCGAAGCTCAAGGTCTGACGTGCGAATTTGACCGCTTAGGGATTTATATCTGGCTTTAGGGGTTTAGGGCTTATGATGTTTCAAATCTTGGCAACAGTTTGGCTGTGGGCTTGTCAAAGCTGCCAGGCCTTGCAGTAATGGACAATGCAGCCACCGACAACCTCAGAGCTGCTGCGACAGTTTTCGTGTAGCAGCGACTTCACTCTTGTGAGCTTTTTTATTGAATAATCCGAAAAAATCTTTTAAGGGGCATGCCACATTCTTTTCCTAAGCCCTAAATACACCCATGCAATCCCAGTATACTCCTACCTCTCCCCATAGAAAGCGACATGGTTGGTCTGGCTGTTTAGACTTGAGAGAGACTTGCAAGACAGGATCGCATGAAGACATGACCTACAGTGAACATCTCCCACTTAATTCATGGAGATGAAAATGCAAACTACCAGAATTGAAAATCAAGTGGCAAAGAACATGGAAGATGAAATGCTACCTGGAACTATATGGGGGGAACTATATGGGGGTTATAAGGACTAACACTCTCCGTATCCTTCGTTGGATTCCTATTAGGGAAGACATTAGGGACGAAACTATCAGAGGGGCCCCTCATGGTCCCCTGGCAACTCTGAACGGTAAACCCTAAATCCTAAAACCTGAACCCTGGCCTAGACCCTCAAGGGTCCCTTGGCAAGCCTGCTGTTAGTGACTCACAAAGAGCTTTACAGCCTGAAGCGTGCTGCAGGCCAGCCGATACTGTGATGTTGGGAACCAGCGCTGCTAATGAAACCCTAATAATTTCATAAGGTTTAGATGTAGGCACCTTCAAGAAAGCATCCCTCGGCCAGTCAGAAGTAAGGTATGCTATCCTGCCTAGCTCGACTATGTGATCGCCTGCTGGCGAGCTTGCAGCAAGCCCTCGTACCCATGAAGGTTGGAGACGGATTCGCGCACCAAAAAAGCGGATTCGCGCACTATGCGAAACACAGGATTCGCGCACCAAAGCGGACGGATTCGCGCACTAAACCGTCGGATTCGCGCACCATGGAAAACGGATTCGCGCACCATGGAAAACGGATTCGCGCACCAAAAAAAAGGATTCGCGCACCAAAAAAGCGGATTCGCGCACTATGCGAAAAACAGGATTCGGGCACTAAACCGCCGGATTCGCAAGCCACGGATTCGCGCACCAAGGTTTCGCGCACTGACCCGGACCGAGTCGCGCACCAAAGATTCGTGACCAAGCGGACAGATTCGCGCACCACAACGATCTCATTCGCGCACCAAGCGGACCTGATACACGCACCAAGCGGACCAAGAGAATACAAACCCTATAGAATCCCAGAATCCCTATAGGTTCCAGTTTTTTTTCATTATCCCTCTACGTCCCCATATGGCCACTATATGATCCCTGAAAGTACCAGTTTTCATTTTGCCACCAGACATCTGACCTTTCAAGACGCACTGTACAGGGAGTGCAATGCACCCTGAAGCCTAGGGTCTAGGGTTTAGGGTTTAGGGTCTTTGCCCAGATCGCCATCTGGTGGTGAATTTCCAAAAGGCGGCACTCCAGTAAAACCCCTAAACTTTGAACCCTAAAGCCCCTAAACCCCAAAACCCTCTGAAGCCCCTAAGCCCTCGACCCTGAAGCCCCCTAAACCCTAAGACCCCTAACCCTAAAACCCTAAACCCTAAAGCCCTAAACCCTAAACTCTAAAGCCCCAAAACCCTAAAACCCCTTAACCCTAGAGCCCCTAAACCCTAAACCCCACAACCCCTAGTAAACCCTAAAACCCCTTAACCCTAAAACCCCTAAAGCCCCCAAAACCTTCAAACCCTAAATTTCCAAAACCCTAAAACCTTTAAACCCTTAACCCAAAAGCCTCTAAACCCGAAATCCAAAAACCCCTACAGGCCCTAAACCCTAAAGCCCCTAAGCCCTAAAGCCCATAAGCCCTCCACCCTCAAGCCCCCAAAACCCTAAAACCCCTAAACCCTAAAGACCCTAAACCCTAAAGCCCCCAAACCCTAAACCCTAAAGCCCCCAAAACCCTAAAACCCCCAAACTCTGAACCCCAAAAGCCCCGACGCAAACACTCAAACCCCTAAACCCTAGACACCAAAAGCCCCGAAACCCTAAACCCTGAAGCCCCTAAACCCTAGACCCTAAACCCCTAAACCCTAAAGCCGATAAACCCTAAAACCCATCTAAAACCCTTAAACCCTAAAACCCTAAAGCCCCTGATTCCTAAATCCAAAAACCCATCAACCCTAAAGCCTAAGCCCCAAAATCCTAAACCCTCAAGCCCCCAAAGCCCTGAAACCCTTGAACCCTAAAACCCATAAACCCTTAAACCCTAAAAGTCTTAAACCCCACACCCTCATGCCTCTAAATCCTAAACTCTAAAGCCCCAAAACCCTAAAACCCCTAAAGCCCCCAAAACCTTCAAACCCCAAGCCCTGAAACCCCAAAACCCCTAAACCCTAAAGCCCCTAAACCCTAAAACCCCTAACCCCTAAACCCCTAAACCCTCAACCCCGTAAATGTTAAGCCTTTAACCCTAAAGCCCCTAAGCTCTAAACCCCAAAACCCCTAAATCCTAAATCCTAAAACCCCTAAACCCTTGCGATTGGGCTCACATCCCTATCACACTGGCAGCCGAGGCACCTGAAGTAACCGCCAAACCAACGAAATGTAGATGGCACCCTGTGCCTCCGAAATGTATGTCTGATAAAGATGACGAATCCCTGAAGTAAAGAGCTGCCCCGCAGCTAATCTGAAGTGCTGTCCCTGCAGCCCGAGCGTCGCCCAATTCCTATGGCTTCAAGCACTCCCTCTGTCACTACCCACCTCGGCTGGAAATGGCCACGGAGACAAGACGTACACGGAGATGACCTGAAACGCTTTCACACTCCCGTAACTTTACACGTCTCGTCTCCGTTGATCCAAGTCTGTACACGGATCAAAGCCTGCAGCCACATTGGCACCGATCCATTCCAGTGCCTGCTTCCGATGTGCACTTTTCTCCAACGAACAGTCTCCATCGTGAAGTTTGAATTTGCCCAACAAAAAAAGGCAGCGTTCATTGCTTTAGTCAAACTGTCCGCCAGCATTATGGCTGTGGGCACCCAGCGAAAGATTACATGTTCTGTGCAGCGCTGGCGAATGAGGAGTACTTCAAGGGTTGTCCTAAATTCCTCACAGCTCGGCACAGCTGTGCGGGTTACAAGGTCGTATAGAGACTTACAATCGGTGACGATGATTGCCGGGGAAAGGAGCTTGAAACTAGTCAAGGGGTCTTCCCAGGGGAAGCCCTGAACATTAACGCAACCCCACAACATCCTAATCCATCCTAAGAGGTCAACCGATTTGGACATGGCGCAGGCCTCCGCTGATAGGGTAGAACGTACAACCCTAGAGATACGTTTTGAAACCCAGGTTACTTAGGGGCTATACTTTGGTATGTTAAATGCATGTCGCTGAACTCCTGAGATTGGCGAAGCACTCGGTTGGCTTCGATTAGCGGCCATATCCGGCCGGGTGTGAGTAACCGCGTATTGAAGGCTCCCAATGAGTCCACGTAGTGAAGACAACTCCTCAGCAGTGAGGGGAGACTCGGGATTAAGCCGTCGGGCCTTACCAACATTAATGGGAGGGATGGAGTCTACGTAGGTCTTTTGGCGAGCTGCTCCAGCTCAATCCCAGTGAAAGTAAAGCGCTGGCTCTTCTCGCTTTCGAAGGGCAAAGTCTTTTGAAGAAGGCTGATCTGTCTAGGGAAGTAGGAGTCCCCTCCACAAACGCCATCATCGACGTGGGTTCCAAGAACCCCATGAAGATGAGTGCCCCCGGCGTGCTTGGTTTCAAGGATGAAGACGCAGGGATCTAGTGGGTGGAGCCTAAATCCTAACTTAAACAACTGAGACTTTAGTTCCTGGTAGAACAGTAAGGGAGCATCCGCTCGTCCATAGGCATTGCCCACAAGTGCACACACCTCGTCGTCACGCAGTTGCATTAGCTTACGTAACTCTGGGGGTGGTTCCATGGCTAGCTGGTTCTTAGGGTCCGCCTTTCCGCGGAGAAAAGCTGTCTTAATGTCGAAGGATTGGAGAGTCCACTTGTGGGAAGCAATGGTCTGAAGAATGATGGCACGACCTTCTCGGGATAAGGCGGGGGAATCTCTAGCTACAGTTGTTAGCTGGGGATCCTCGTATCCAAGAACCACTAGGCGGCCTTAGCTTTACGAACACTACTTCCTACTTCAGGGGCTTTCCATGTAAGTACCCAACGGGAACGTAAGATCTGTTCAGGATTAAGGTACTTGCGGAGAATGCGACGAACAGCGTTCGTTTGTAACCAGCAGTTCAGTTCCTTTGTCTTGGCTTGAGCGAATAACTCCCTATCTTCACAAGTGAGTTCCTTCAAACGAAACTCTGCTCGCGCTTTCTTCCCGGCTACAGCAACCTGAGTCATATATCCCGGGTGAGATTCCTTGAGCCATTTGCGAATGTCCTTTTCCTTCATAGGGATTTCAAGACAGTAGGCTTGCTCGGAGTTAGGCCTTAAGGGATCGGGAATCCAAGGCAGGTCGTCTTCGGCTAACAATCTGTCTGACTCTGGACAACCATCTAGGAAAAAACTCTCTAGCAAGGGTTCTTGATCTGACTCACATTCAAAAGGGGTCTGTGCCAGCAAGATAGGTTGGCTTTGACAAGTGAGGAGGTCATCTCCAGAGTCCTCCGGGAGCAGAATTTCACGCCAGGCAGGGCCGTCTGCAGGCAACTCAGTACTTTCTGGGCCAACATTAATGCTAACTTGCGGAGTCAGTTCTTGTTCGGGTTGGGGGAGTTCGCTAGAGCTCCGTTCTCTATCCGGGTCACTTGCTGGAGGTACAGCGCCGGGACCTTCGGTGGTTACTGCGGTGGCAGGTCCAGCAGGAGGGGCTACGACAGGTGGTGTGGGAATATCGACAGCTACCAAAGAAGGTGGAGGGAAACGACTGAGGCACCCCCGGCCCGCACCTCTTGAGCAACTTGTTGCCACTCACGCAGAGAAGCAGGTCGAGGGTATTCAGGGGGAGCCCTGATGGTCTTAGTCTTGGTTCCATGCAAAAGATACACTATCGCGTTGCCATCTCTAGATATGACTTTGGCTGGTCCATGCCAGCGCCCAGCGGCAAGGCGGTTGGGACTCGACTTTTTGATCCAATATAACACCCACTCACCAGGGATTATATGAACCCCTAATCGGATTCGACCGGCGAAGAAGAGCTCGACGGATGGCATCACTATTATCCGCTTCCACGAAAGCCTGCTGAGCGGCAGATCTCCGTGCGAGATTCTCTCGAAATGCATCCCCCTCTAATCCCTCAGCGATTGCCAGGCCATGAGCCGTGGCAGTCTCGTCGGATATACGAGTGAAGCAGGAACACGCACGGACTTCCCTAACACGGTTCAAAGAAAGTGCAGCAGGCACACGCGTTTCCTTGTTGTTCGCCAAGGCGAGGTGCGCGGGAGTGTCCGAGTCCGGGCACGAAGCGCGCCTCAGACCTGGTCCGGGCACGGAACGTGCCTCAGACCCGCGCACCCACCGAGGCGGAAGAAGCGATCTTGCAAAGAGTGGGCGGAGGCCCCGATTACTCCTGGTACGAGGACAGCTGTTGCTCCGCGCCGGGTCGCGGAGAAGAGGTCGTTGCCAAGGCCCGGAACCGCACCGGTGCCTCAGAGCCCAAACCTTGTCGGTCGTGGGGCAACTCTCCGAACCCAACCACTGGCCTCCACTGCTCGCTACCTTTGTGCGAGGCTTCCTCACACAACACCTCGAGGCCAACCCCGGCGCCAGCTTGGGTAACGACGAAGTGCGTCTCGCTTTGGAAAAGGCTGCCGCAGAAGGTGGGCGAACTTGAGCACCTAGAGCCTGCGAAGGCCGGAGAAGGTCGCGCTTCGTTTACCGACCCGGTGCCTGAACGATAGCTCTCCGTGCGCGAGCTCGGTGGGACGGACTCAGCTGGCCAGTCTATCTCAGCCCCGAGGTTCGCGAAGCGGTAAGACAATCTCCGCCTGGCGACGCCGATGAGGCACGGCAGCGCCTGCTCCTGCACTGTGTGGCTGCAGTCCTTGCGCGACGAAGCGGCACGGTCCCCAAGCTCTCGGACGTCTGCCGACTTGCGCAAGCGGTCCGCAAAGAATTGCTGGGGAAGGCTGTGGCCTCCGACACCGCCCTGGGTCCTCTCCCGTCCGAGATCTCAGCGCACTTACGCACACGACCTGCGGCACTGGTCACGACAAGGACTATCGATGCTTGGCGGCCTACTTCTTGGAGCTCTTTCGACCCCACCGGCTCCTCTTCTTGAGGGTAGACCCCCGAGGCAGGGTTACTACTGAAGAGGTCCGGGCGTGGACGCCAAGCCGAACGATAAACCGCTTTGGCTGGTGATCCAATAAGGGCACATGCGACTTGTTTTGCCGCGCCGGCCGACACCCGAGTTATTTCCGCTGTGGGCTGGGCCGACCTCCTTGAACCTCAACTTCAATAAAACAGTACATCTAGAACATCCAAAAACCAAGGCTACTCCGC